TGTATAAATTAAGTTTGAGTTCCTAGCCTGGATTTTAAGAAGAAATTTTATATGTTATGAACCATGAAAGAACTAGAGGGAAAAATATCTTATTGTATGATAATTCCACCTCTCCTATAAGAAGTGCCAGACTTTGCATATATAATGTGCTCAAACGAGTAATATGGAAAATGCATTACTCTGTACTATCAAAGGATGTTCCAGAATACCTTGAGGTCCTGACAGCTATTTAGAGTTTGCTAATATCACACAGCACTGTGAAGTATATAAGGTTTGTACATTCTGTTCACCACTGATGAACCACAGAGCTGGGCTTGGGAACACTGTAGGCTTCTAAAATACCACATCTAGAAAGTGTAACCTAATCAGAGGAGGGAAATTATCTTCTACAGAGGAATGCTTAAAGCCACCTTTAGTCTTTCATGTGTAGACTGCAACATCTGGGTTTTTTTCCCTTGTGGACGAGCTAGCCTATGTCAAATACTCTGAGCAATGACTTCCATGGCATAGTCTCAGGAAGTCCCCTAGCGTCAATAGCCATGTGCTCTCTGAGGCCTTATGATAAACTGTGAGGCTTTCGAAGGAACCGCAATTTGCACATCTAACAAACATAAACATGTTTATCCATAGTGCCTGGTCCCCAGTCACAGGGAGATACAGCTGTAAATAGCTAAATTTATTTTCCTCTTTTAATCAGCTATGGACACAACCTCAGCTGGGGATCTAAAGGTTGAGTCACAGTTGATCCTTGATTTGATTAATCACCAGCCTCCTCTGAGGTTTGAGTCTTGTTTCTGGTTCAGAGGTCAGGGTGTACAAAAGGACATTACCAATGAGCCAGCTACCTCTGTGATAACAAAGACTGAGTGCAAACCAGTGCTGCAACTGTAAACTGGAGAGCTACAGAATATGTAACTTAGAGCTCAAGTTGATCTTCAGCTTTGGGCACTAACGAGTAACATCAAGAGGCTGAAAAGAGCTAGCTGCCATTCAGAAGTGTGAAAACAGAAGCTTAGGAGAAGATCACTTTCTTCAGGAGCCTGAAAGAATAATTGGGAAGTTCGCAGAAACTGACAGTCACCTAAGAAGTGGAATTATAAAATTGAAGCTGTGCTGGCTGCCAAAACTCCCTCCAAGAATTCAGCAGAGTGATGCAGGTGAGGGTCCATTCACCAGGCAGCCAGGAAAGAATAAAAGGTTATTTGACAGGCAACTGCTTCATAAGCAGATGTGTACCTTCATAATGCAGATACATGTGGTGCTGTCACTGTCATTACCTACAGAGTGGAAGGGAACAGGATCTGTTTCTATTGTCTGTAATTGCTTTGTGCACCACCATTCCCCCATTCTTACACTTTTGAGTCATTTAAAAAAAAAAAAAATTGAAATCTTAAAAAAATTGGTTGCAATCTTCAGTCCATGATTACTTGTAACCAGTGCCATCACCTGGCACATATTTGTGTGCAATCATCCAGCTCCATGCCTTTCCACGTGCAAATGAGACAACTGTTGTTTTACCAAAGCTTTGGTACAAATGATTGCACATGGACACATTACAATGATTTGAAAAACCAAACCAAAACATGACAAAAAAATAACCCCACAAAAGTGATGCTCTTCCAGGACAGAATTTCTCTTTCTCTACTGTGTGCCATTCACCATATTTAAGATATTATCACACAGTCCCTTGAATCAAGGCAACAACCCCTCTCTTCCTGCCTTTTGTGACATGAATATCTTCAACCCACTTTTGCCTTTTGGGACAGGCAACAATCCCAACCTTTCAGCAAGCCATCATGCTAAGAATGTACCTACCTCTTTTTCCAAAATGTACAATTTCTCTCCCCCCACACTACATTTCTAATTCTGGCATGCCTAAAGCATGAACAAGAATGAATGCTGGACCAAAACCACCTTTTATATCTGTGAAAACAGAACAGCCATAAAATCCAAAGCTGCTCTTAGTTCTGTGGAGAAACCTAGAAATTGAACCTATTGGGAATGGGTGTTTCCACAGAGGCTCCCAGCAGAGTGGAGAAAGCTCCAGATTTAGAGTGTAGTTAAAATTAAATTTTTCCGCTACATTTTCCACTTTGTGGCTTTTTCTTTCCCTCTGCTGTAGTATTCTGCAGGCCTTAAAGAAGCATCCCTGTATCCTAGTACACAGAGGTCTTGGGATATTACTTGAAAACAGTACACCAAGAGGAAATTGTGCAATCAATTCCATGAGAATGCCTCCCTCAGCAATAAACACTGCCTGTGCCAAATAAATGGGCGATGTGCGTCATAAATTTCCTTTTCCTGTCACAGCAGCCACAAGAAATGGATGAAGTTATGCACATTTGTATAAAAATAAAAATGTGTTATTTGCTCTCCAGCACACTACGGACAGGGTGCTGCAAGCACTAAGGAGCTGCAGAGTGCCTTCTTGGGCTTCCATCCTGCTCAGAGCTCCTCACACACAAAGGAAAACACATCCAGTTTTTCTCATAGTCATAGTATGCTAGTTCCAGCCTAACTGGTCACAAATGATGAAGAAATGCCTGAATTATTTTGGCATTCGACTTAAGCCCCTCTCAAAGACCTTTTGTTGTTAAAGAGAAGGTGTTTACCACTTGCTGCAAATCAGACCTAGGCACAGTCTTGGCTGAACAGCCCACGCTGGACAGTCCAAAACCACCAGCTCCTGAACTGAAAAGTCAGGATCTTTCATTCTCTTTTTTTTTTTCCAGGTACTATTTTCTCCACTGACTGAGGCCACAGAGTGAGAAATTTGCTTTGCATTTGCATCAAAAGGACATAACCCATCACCCTTACACACTAAATTCAGCCCCTCATCTGGCGTGGACAAGCACAGGACACCAACTTTAATGTCATTTGGAAAGCTCACCAGATTCAAACTATGGCAACAACACAATTTTGGCCTCCTTTATTCTATTTATTTTTCTGTTCTTTATTCCACCCCATTCTGGTTTTGCTCCTAACTGCAGAAGAGTGTTATTCGCTGTGATCAATGGTGAGACCTTTTGACCCTAAGCCCCTCCATGTATCATCTGCATACTGATGCAATCTGTATCCTCTCACACACCTCCAAAGACCATTCCTGCCAGGAGACACACTGCCAGAAAGTGGTTTCAACTCTGCCTCTCCATTGCATCCATTCACATCTCTCCTTAGGAAATAGCTCTTCTTTACCAGCCACTTCCATAGGATTCTGGGCTCAAATGGGGAAAGAGAGAGCTGTCAACACAGATATATTAGAAATACAATCCAAGCAGCTGCTATTTGTGTTTATTTTCAGACTACTTTATTTTTTCCCTCAGACTGATCTCAACTTCTATAATATTATTATTTCTCCCAGGTCAAACAACATCTGTTGTTTAAAAAGCAAAGTAAACTCATTTGGATTATCAAGTTTACATCTTTCCATTTGTATTTTACCATAGTTGCCTCACTAGGAATTGCCCTGCTCTGCAATCTGATACTTCATGGGCTACTGTGCCCATGAGAAGATTTTGTCGTGACTTTAGCATCTATAACCACTGCACAGGCCTTAACCTGATAAATCACATCTGCTCCACAGCAGAATTTACAGACGGTGTCCCCAGAACCCTGAGAAGCAGGGAGCAGAGCAGCGACAAGTGCAGCATCCTCCTCCCATGCTTGCTGCCTGTTCTGTAAGTGCAACAGGCTGCATCAAACACCTACCATCTCTGCTGCTGCAGAGGGCTCACTCTGTCCGTGAAAGAAGTCGCTGGTGATTGCTTTTAATAGTCAGGATAGGCACAACTATAATCTGTCAAAAAAACATATAGTGACATAATGTCAGCAACTATAAATTAACGTAACTCTAAAGTATGCTGTCAGCTCTGCCAGCAGGGCATCTAGCCTGGGCTGGCTGTAGTACTGGTACCAGTGAGCAAGGGTGCTCTGTCCTGTCAGGCCTCACAAACAGTGAAATCCAGAAAGTGAAAATCAAGTTCCTACATCCAAACCTGATTTAGTCCAGCAAGAGCAAAGCTATTTAAACTCACAGAGGGCTCTGCAACACTGGCTCTGTCCTCTGCGCCTGAGGACCACTGGCAGCACTCAACGTCTTTGTTTCACTCTTCTTCTTCTCGAAGAATAGAGCCAGAGGAAAAAAAATTATATAACAGGAAAAATCCCAGCTCTTTGGAGGCCCAAGATGAAATCAGTGGCAATGATTTGGTCCCAGCTGGTATTTCATATACTGAAACTCCAATCTCTCCCTCTGCAAGACAAAACCAGCCAAGAGTTAGAGCAGGCAGGACAAAGAGAGATAATAACAGTTGTCCAGATGTGTTCCTTATGAGCAAAGATGTTATTCTTGTGTTTGGTCACTTCTGGGAAAAGCAATTTGTTTAGCCATCAGAGGAAAGATCCACACAAGAGCCAATGAAGAAAGGAATCTGCTGCCAGGAAGGACAGGTAGGGACCCCAGGAAGTCAAAGGAAAACTTGAATGAAGCCCCATCACTTTTCCTGTGGCTCAGACTTGACCTTTGGTGCTTACTTTCCTCCTCTGCTGTTAACTCTGCTTTTCAAGCAATAACAAAGATCAGAGCTGTAAGAGTTTCCATCAAGTCTTTCATGAAAAAGCACTTGACTTTTCCATAAAGCTTTGCTCTAAGAAAATGACAATTTACAAACATGAAAATCTTTGCTGGTACTTCCTGAGGTTAAGTAAAAAAAAAAAAAGACGACTACCTCCATATGTTCACATTTGTTCTTTTAGGTAAGTAGGCAAGTTCCCTATAATTCTACTAAACTGCTAGGACATGGATTTCCACAGCAGACTTTCTCCCTGGGAAGACAGTATAAAGAGCCCAGAAAAGAGCATGCACTGTGAATAACCATGTGAAGAACTGATTTTCATTCTGGTTTGAACTTTCAGTATATTTCTAAGCAGCAACAAAACCTTGATTGCTGATCATGAGAGCAGTAATTTTGCCAGCATACAGCTGGCCACAGGCTCAACCTCAGAGGAGCACATAAACACCCCTCTGAGCCCTCTTCCCAGGCACAGCTCAGGTAGGAACATGAAGTCAGCCTAATTTCACTTCCAGGGGCAACGTGAAGGACTGAAACACAGTAGTTGATCCTCACAACGATGTTCCATTTGTTAGACAAGCTAAGGCACGTTCTGTGCGTGAGGGTGCAACCTGCCTGCCATCTGGCTGTAGCATGGGTGGCACTAAGTGGGAGAATGGAAGCTGCTCGAGGGTTGCTGCCCAACCCACCAAGTGGCTTATAACCAGACAGGTGAAGTCCTGCAGTCCTTTCCTTTACCCTTTGCCCAAAGGCCACGTATCTTGAATGGTTTGAGTTGGAAGGGACCATAAATATCTGCAAGATGTAAATATTCCAACATCATCTCTTTCACCTTTCATTGACACTTGACAGGGAACAGTCGCTTTCTTTGCAGCCAGTAACATCCTGTGCACAGCACCTGCCCCTTGGCTCCACTGTCAGCTCCATCCCCTAGCAAGACATGAATCTCCAGACTGTTGTCACCCTCTGCCAAGACACTCCAGACACGAGAGGGGGAGGTTTGGAGGGAGAGTATGGGCTTGCATCTATAGCCTAGAATTAGTGATGCCAGTCTAGAAAAATAACTGCTGGAAGTTGAGACAGATTTTGGGATTTTGTACAACGGTTTGAACAGCTGACGGCTCCCATCTAGTCAAAAAGCCTCACAACAAGGGCCTGATTTTGGAGCTTGAAGTATTTCTGTTCCCAAAGTGCACTAGGGTATGGAAAATCATGCCATAGTTTTTATGGTTAACTGAACATTTCTTTTCAATCTCTGAAGGGTTTGGGGTTTGTTTGAATTGTGAATGATGGCTCATGTCCCAGCTCTGTGTGTGACATACTCCTCTAGTGACAAAGTTCACATGCTGAGCCTCAGTCAAGAATCCACACGTACCCTGAAAGCTGCTGGCACCCACAGCGTATAATTAAGATCATATGAGACAGCATTTCTTTCCTTTGCTGAGCTATATCCAAGAAAAGGGCCAAATGACTCTCTTGGCCCTTAAGATTTGGAAGGTAAATCCTATCATTTGGTTTCTCCTTACATGCCTTCATTTCTAACTGTAATTTCTATTTAAATGTTTCTTTACACTCTCCACAACAACCATTGTCATGGTACATTATGGCATGACCATTTCCCTCAAGATAGCAAGGCAGTATTTTCAAAAGCAGCTAAAAGAGTTAAAAGCACGAGTCCCCAGTCAAAATCTTTCTAGGATGAATGATTCTATGAGCAGGGAAGTTACATGAGCAGCATAGCATGGATCCGCTCCTCAGTGGTGCCAAGAGATTATTTTGGCAAGTTACTTTAAAGACCTGCATTTAAAAGGATAAAAGGTTGGTTTGGCAAGTTGAAATAGCAAGGATAATTCCACAGATTCTATAGCAATAGCCAATTCTGCTCTAGGGGATTTAAACTGCAAGAATAATAACAGGTTTTCCTTTTCTTAATAGACACCTACTTTATCATTTTGTCCATCAGCCTGTTGATTATTCTGACAGTTAATGAAGAGGAAAAAAGCACTATTTTAGAGAAATATTAATTGCTGTTATTTAAGGTGCTGTCATGATTGTGACTTAAAACTAACAGCTTGAGATACATAAACCCAAAATGCTCAGCCTTCCTCTAGTGGTCAGGGCTGGTTAAGTGAGGAGCAGAAGAAATGGGCATTATGACAGTTTGTCAGGTGCATTTCTTACCTGGCACAACTGTGTTGTTTTGACTGGCTCTGGGCATTGAATGACAACCTTACCATAATCCAACAGAAAGCAAAATAAGGTTGTGTCTTGTACAGCTCAAATGAAATCAGCTGTCCTCAATAGCTGGGTAAATTCAGAGCAACTTGCCAAACTTGCTTTAAATGTACACCAGTGAAAACAAAGGTAGCGAACTGTTACAACTGGAAACAGCCATAACATTGCAAACTGCTTTGAGTGTGGAAGGAAACCCACATCTTAGAGTTTTGAGGGTCAGTTTGTGTAATATTCCATGCTCTGTCTCCAGTTTGATTGCTGAGTTTCTCCTCCTCCACAGTAATGACTTTGGTATCTTTTCATTCAAATCTATGGGGGAAAAAAAAATATTGTTCATCCTGCTGCACAGTCTATAAACCTTGTAGTATTTAAAGTAACAAGCCTGCCATTGGGAATGGGGCTCCTTCAGTCAGAAGAAGCAAGGTGACTAAATAGTCTTGCTTCCCAGGTGGAGAAGAAGCAATATGTAAGGGAAAGACAAACCACACACTGGGGGCAGGGGAGAAAGAGGGAAGAGGAAAAGCTTAAAGCGAAAGAAGAGCTGGAGGGAAGAGAGCAAGAGAAAGACAGAGAGAAATAAATACCCTCGAGAAAAATATAGCTGACTTCAAGATCCCCAACCTCTGCTAGAGCTTAAAGGAAACTCTGTGCTCCTCAGATTTCCTCTTTAGATGATGAATGGGCAGGGTAGGCAGTAGCCTGTGGAGGAAAAACCAGCGTTCTCACCTCTGTTCATGGGCCAGGTTCTGCAGGGCTGATCTTTGTTGCCTTACGCTACAGCACATGGCTACAGTGGCCAGCATCACTGACAATATTCCAGGTGGGAACTGATAACTTTTACAGCAACAGACACATCTCCTCTTTACTTTTTTATCCTGTCCATCCATTAATGCAGCCTTGTCTCTTGCTCTTTTACTATAGCTGTCATGTAGGCAGACAGTTCCAATGACTTTTCCAAAAGAAACTACCTGCTCTGATCAAATCCCTCTCTTAATCCCTCTGCTGAATGCTTGCTCTGTTAACACATAGTCCCCAGTCTCATTCCCTGCTTGCAGATTAATTATTTCACATTTCTTTGCATTGAACTCCATTTTGCCATTTGTTAGCAGAGTTAGAGATTTCGGCCCTGGTGAATCTGCTTACGTGGTGCCTGGTCTTGGGGAGATCTTACACCACATTATCTCTTGCCTCAGCCCACTGCAAAGGTGGACTAACTTCTCAGACATCAGCAGCTTTACATTCATACAGTGTTCCTGAGGAGCACGCTCACTGTTTTCAAAACCCAACAAATACACTGCTCTGAAACATGAAGCAGCACAGTAGCCCCTTACCATGACCCCAGAGACAGGGTGACTCCAGACCATGCTGACAACTGTTTCCACCCAACAAAGGCATAAAAGGGCTCCTGGCTGATCAGGCTGTCAAATCAGAAGGGGGTCTAGCTAGGATGCTTTGCTGCCAAACCCAGGCTGCCTTTGCTACATGAGAATGGTGGGGCACCTTTGTGCTGTCTGGATTACACACAACAGAGGTCCTGAAACAGTCCCAAGAACAGCCTTCTGCCAGCTTGAAAAGTTTTCATCTGTGCCTATTGTCTCATACCTGCCCTTGAGCTGGTTTTGATCCAACAGCCTCTCTTACCTCCTCTTCCTTTACCTTTTGCCTTAGCTATTAATCTCTGATGTGGAACTTTGTGAAATGCTCTTTGAAACTCTAAGCGCACTGCTGAATTCTCCTTATCTAGCCTGGCAGTAATATCTTCAAAGAACTCCAGGAGGCTAGTTAAGTATGACCTCCTCTAGCTTCAAGCTCAGCTTCCCAGCAAGCCCTTCACTTCATTGCTAGAGATGATAGGAAGAGGACGGGGAACTCTGGGACAAAGAGGCACATTGCTGTTACAATAAAGCCAGCAGCAGACAGAGCATGGCTCCTGCTGCCCAGCACGTTTTTAAATTGCATTGGTGACACCTCACTCTCCGACTGCACCTTCTGTTTTAAGAGGGCCCAATGCAAATTGTGTCTCACAGGCAAGCTGCCACTACCCACACGGGAGGACTTTCACAGGGGCACCGCACCAGGGATGTCTGAAATAAAGCTGAGGATGCAGTTGCACATCCTGCACCTTTGAGTACTCTCTCAAGCCCTTTCAATGCCTGCCTGTTGTCAGGTTCTCATCTTTCCTGCCCTCCAACCATGCAGCCATTTTTGACGTATTTAATGCTACAGGAAATGTTTTCACCATGAAGGTGCTCAAACACTACAAGCCTCTCAGAGAGGTATCACCATCCTTGGAAATAGCTGAAAATCAGCCAAAGTCCTGAGCAACACTACCTAAATTCAGACTTGGTCCTGATTTGATAAGGAAGGTGGACTGCAGGATATATTAGAGTAAGGCTTATTGCTGATTTTTATCTTCCCTTTGGACCCAGCTGCATCTTCCAGCTCTCAGTTGGCGAGTCTAGGAACTCAGGATGAATTTTAAGCTGTCTACTGCCCTTCCAGAACCTCAGCTGGGATTAGCTACAGTTTGGTGAGTTCCCTCCCTTCTGCATCAGCTTAAGCAGTATTTAAAGTTTATCTCTGCGATGAAGTGAGTCCACGTTTTAATTCCATCTCCACTTGCAATGTGCAGAATTTCCCCTTGCACTGTGCTTCCTGCTCCCTCACACAGCACCTTGCTGTGTTTCCATTCACACATCATCTCTCGCTGGTTTCTCATTTACATCATAATACTGGAGTTGCTGTTTACACTGAGCTGCACAAAGGTATGTTTTACATCTTACTGTGGTGTGATCATTAACATCACACCGCTGGCCCCCGGGAGTTTCATGACTGGATTCAGATCCATCTGTCCTGTGTTCCCAACAGGGGTTCCCCCTGCAGGCCTGAATATTTTGCAGGAGACAATTCAAAATGTGCAAAACACTACACTGTCAGGCAGAAGGTGTTACCTTAAATGATGATCTACATGAATGTGCTGTTGTTTTGTATCTTACCTCTTTAAAGAGCAGCCTCTTCAGAAATCATGGCACAATCTATGCTCCATCACAATAAAAATACTACATATACCTGCAATGAGGTAAGCTCTCTTAATATTTTTAATTTATAAATAAAATTCCCACAAAAGAATAAAAAAAGGACATATGACAGCTTTCCTTACTTACAACTGATACAAGGCTAGTAGGTTTGGTGCATTCTTTTTAAAGGTTTGCATCTCAAAGCTATATATAATGTTTCTACCACCCCTATCTACACTGTCTGAAAACTAAAATAAAGGCTCACGTGGTGATGCTTCAAGTTTAACCCACAGAGCCACAGAGTGACAAAGCTCTGAGTGTTAATCATAGGTGTTCCAAATGTGCTCACAGCCACACTGTTCACAGGCAGTGGGCTCCAGGTAGGGGGAAAGAGACATCTGCTTTGGAAGCAAACATCCACCTGGCAACCTAGGTGAAAACAAGAGCTACAGAGGAAAATGAGGATGGTGAACATGTCTTTCCCTTATAGGAAGTCTTTTAGAGGTTCTGTCACTTTGAAGGTTGGTTTCAGTACGAGATCCTTTTCTATTTCCTCTTGGTTGTAATTACACCTAGGGTGTAATTACCTACTTCCACAGTATCTATCTACCATTTACTCAGTGACATCAGATCAGATCCCTCAAGATTAGATTTTAAGGAACACATGTAGATGGAGAAAATCCAATAGTTTTTTATCTGCAAGTATGAGAACAGAACTTAGCTCTCTTTCTGCCCTTTCCTCCTCTATGTCCTTGGAGGAGAGAGACACCTTCCACTGCCCTGATGGGAAATGCCTCTTCAGCTTTGAGGACAAAAAGTCATTCCTGACACTTGGCACAAAGTAGACTCAAAACTACAGCCTGAAAGTGGTTCTGTGAAGGAAATATGAAAAAAAGGGAAAAATTACTAGTGGAATAATAAATTTGACAGAACTTATCTTAACAACAGCAACCTCTGTAGGCTTCTCAGAACTTGCAAGGCACACACTTGCAAACAGAAGTGCCCTCAGGAGAGCTCCAACAACACAAACTGGGCCCCCAGGCTGGCTTTGGGCTGCATCCTTTCATCTGTACTACACAGCTCAGGCTGACCTTTAACTAGGAAAAATAAAAAAGGGAGGTGACTGTTATTGAGTCAGAACAGCAGAAGGGAATAAATAAGGTGTGAATTACGATGGGGAAGAATGAAGAATACTTAGAAAATCCTAGGAGGCAGAATATTTTGATAACACTCCTGGATGGGGCAGACACACTTTTGTTTTTACAGCAGTGGCTGCTTTGGTGCAGGTTTGCCACTGGGTTTCCCTAGGTTTTCTCAGGATAGATGCCTGAAGTCTGAGATTTCAAAATTCACAGGCACTTCTGAAAATCTTGGTTCCTTATATGTTCCTATTCCTTATATGTTCCTTATATTGACTGAGCATTAAGTGCTGCTACAAGGGTCATCACAGGTATTTGTCTAGGACGTTGCTGGATCCAGATCTGGCAGCTTTAGGCAGGAAACTCCATCTCACACTCTACCCCACTGCAGGTAACAAGTTCAAAGAGAGGAAAATTCCTTTGCATCCGCCCAATGCTTGTAGAAGAATAAAAAAATCTCAGGATCATTCTTTTTCCTTCAGTGTAAGGCTACAGAGTTAATAGTGTTGCATGGATGCCCCAATTGGCCTTAAACAAGCTGCGGTAAAACCAGCAACATAGCAACAACAGTAGCACATAGGCAGGATAATAATCATCACTAATTCGTTCACGCTCTTGGTTGAGCTTTGCAATCAACGGTGCCTGCTGTCCGTCCTTCACTGGACAGACATACACAGGTATTGCTCACCGTACATAGGGTAGGTGGTTCAGCTACACTTGTACCTACCCATGCCTACAGCAAGAACAGAAAACCCCTCCCAGCTGACTTACCTCCACCCATAGCATCCTCTTTGCAAACTCAACATCCCTGCCCTCACCAACAGGCCCAGTGCTGTTTTGCTTGGGGCTGTAGAAGAGCCCAGAGGCTTCACCTGCAGGAACACAACTTTGTGCCAGTCGGAAGAGTCGTGTGGAGGAAGGTGGAGAAAAAATATAAATCACCCAGAATTAATCAAGCCATCATCGAGTGCAATAGCTGTACAAGGAAAACAAATAAATCAGCCCATGGTTAAAAATAGCTCTTTTGATTACTGTCTTCAGTCTTCGTCTAAAGACAGCGTAACGACATAACGTTCTCTCAGGAACAAACCCATGTCCAATATTTTACAGCTCCTGCCCTTAGAGCTAGTCAATATCTGCAGAAGATAGAGAGGTAGATTGATTAGAGGTAAAAGATACCTGTACTGTACACATTTGCTCCTGCTGGGCCCAGGACACTGCCCAAGGGTTCCCAGGAAGGATCCCCAATGCCCACACAGCCTGATGGCTATGCACACGCTGGCCTTCACAGCCAAAAACCTGAGTCAAGTGACTTCAGTGGTCAACCAGCCAGCCAGAGGCAGTGAGTGCTCATTTTGGACAACTGACCTCTTAGAAAACACTTATCTTGATATCCTTGTCTCACAACAGGAACGGCACTGCTGCACCTCTGTGTTAGCTGTATCTGTAAATGTCTATCAAACACATCTCCAAGAAGCAGCGTTGTCTCTGAGGCAGCTGTCGTTCCTGGTGGTCTCTGCTGATGTTCAGGTTCTAGTGGTGTTCATAAGATAGGAGAAATAGAAAATATATAAAGCAAGAATACAAGTAATTGTCAAATTTTAAACTCCTTTAGGTTCACTTTTAAACGTTACAGTACCCATAAGAGAAAAATCACTTTTCCTCACATTATAATTTCTAGAAGATCCTCAACAACATTCTCCAGCCCCAGCAGAAAATACAGATTTAATGCTGAAAAGCAATCAGACCAACGCACCCGATCTTGCACCCGCGTTAACGGCTGGGATCCGCCTGCCTTGGTTGCCTGTCCGTGCCCAGCGCAGGGGGCTCCCCGTGCAGCGGGCCGGCGGTACCGGGACAGGGGGCGCACCGGAACGGGAGGATCAAGTGAGGCCGCCCCCTGCTGGCACCGCCCCGCACTGCAGGCGCCGCCTCCTCTCTCTGTTGCTCGCGGGGCTCACGCCGTCGGTGGACGCCGAATGTTACCTGCCAGGCCCCGTTATTCCCTGTCGGTGGAACAGCGCAGGACATGGAGGGTATTCCCACTTCCCACTGCCCAGGTGAATCCTGCCTGGAACCCTGCACGGCTCGTGGCCTCAATTAAATCGCGAGGCAGTTAACTGCACAGGTTAATCACAAGGCTCGTTTCTGAACACCCGGGTGGCCTTGGTTAATTTTGAAATGTGGCATCTTCCCATTTTAATATCTTCAACAGGAGTAACCAGTGTGGGCTTTCATGCTACTCAGCATTCCTTTATTAATCATCCCAGTTATTAGCTGGCCCAGACTTTTCAGTTTCTCCTCCCTGGAAAGTTTTCCCCTGAAACCAGCTTCTGGTTAACAACCCCCTGCCTCACTATATGAAATGTCTGTCATATTTAACATAAGCTTACTAGTGCTAGGGATCACTGTGAAGTACTTCAGCCACACTGACCGAAACATTTGCACTGCCAGACCTTATGCATCCCATATGGTCATTTCGGAAGTGCAGTCCTTCCTTCTCTGCACCTTATTCAAACAGAGTCAACTCCTCCTTCTATTTAAAGAGGAAAAACCACTCTGATTCTGCTCCTTGCCTGCAGTTTGTGTTCGATTGCTCCAGCCTTCACCTGCAGGTCAGTGTTTAGATAGGATACACAACTGGTAAATCTAAGATATGTTTATACAGAAAGATGTTCCAGGAATGCTACACATAAACAGATGGCCTCAGTGTAGTCTGATTCATCCAGACTCATTTTTTCAGACTTATGACCTCAAGTCACTTGCCCAAGAATGTTCTCATTTGTTCAAGTACCATCAACACTGACAGCAACAAGTCCTCGCCCGTTAACTACGTGCCCTCCTGCTGGCACCTGGCTCAAGGAGTCTCTGACAATTATGAAGAATGAGTCCTGGTCCCCACTGGAAAACCCTGAGCACTGGGTAGCTCTTCCGAAATCATTTTCTTCTGATGCACTGGACAGTGAGTCACTGACGTGGCCCCACAGGAGAACCAGCAACCACAGTTCTGCACTGCCCAGACCTCCTTCAGCAGCTCAGCGCACCATAGCCTCTCAGCATCAGCAACCACATCCAGCCAGAAACTCCCTACCCAACAGCCTCTTGATCCACAGAGTGGCTTAATTTTCCAATGGTAAAAATGAAGAGACAGACCTCATCCCACCTCACAGGGCTTCTGTAAAGAGAAACTTGCTCAAATCTGTGATGGTAATGGAGATTCTGTTGATTTTTGGCTATTTCCTTCACTGGTGGGCTTATTAAAAAAGATCATGAAGGACAGAAAATACAAACATTTATCAATATATTCCCATTAAAACCACAGAACATGACCAATATTTTTAGCTATGTTAAAAACAGCATGTGTTTCAGAGTGGGATCACGTCTCCATCTTTATTAATAATTCCCTATTGTGAACAAGAAGAGTATCATTCTCCTTACACCTTTAGGGAACAAACGATTTTCCCGTTTTCTACTACACTAATACACTTTTAATGGCTGTAAATTGTGCACACATAAGAAGTGAAAGATTCCTATCATTTCAATCTACACACAAGTTTCAGCTGCAGCATTTACCTTATTCTGAGTCACTGATTTTAAAATTACATAAATGCCCCCACAGATCTTTTGAATTAAAATAAGATACAGCTTCTGGTTTCAAATGTGAAGTTAGCCTCCAGAGGCAGGCAAAGTAATGCAGATTCCAGAATTCTTTTCACATTGAAATGAGCATTTCTTGAGTAGTACCCACACCCCACATGTATCAAATGATTTGGAGCAGGACATTGATTCATCACCACATCAGGCAACAAATTTCCTTGTACAACACCAGGAGCAAGGCTAGCTGACTCAGAAATGGAGGACTTCTGAATGAACACATCGACCAGCAGTAAAGGAGAAAGCAGCAGCTGTGATGATATTCAAGGCTAAACCAGTCCTTCTCAAGACCACTCTTACATTGCAGTGTAACATTCACACTCTTTGTCAGAATTAATATTGCAGTCAGTGGCCAATTTAGTGTCACAAATAAGTGACCTTATTTGTGACAGTAGATCTACTGCTGCAGTCTACCAACCAGCATTAGCACACTTCTATCTCTGCTGGCTTTCTGAGACCTAATGGTGAGACACCAACTGTTACTAATCAAATTATTAGTAGCTGGAATAATTGCACAGGAATGGCACATCCCAGGATTTTTTTCTATCAGCAAGACCTTGTTGGAGCAGAGAATGTGCAGCTGTGTGAGCAATTATGACAACATGGATGGCATGTCGCTACTGAGCCTCAAGCCTATGGTTTCCAAAACTTCTGCTAACATCCTCTTCCAGGCTCCATAGCATGGAGCAACACGCACCCAGAGTGAAGAAAGCAGGTACAGGCTATTTGCACTCATTGCTCAAAGACTGAGCTTCTGCACTGAACCTGTGCCCATTTATTAAAGGTCATTCATGACTGCAACGTTGAAACACAACTTGTCTTCTAACCTGGTGGTACAATTATGTCCCAGATGTACCTAGGAAACCTCACAGTAACTCTGGAAAAGAGCGTGTTCCATTTTGTAGGGAAGAAGAAAAAGAGAGGCAGAGAGAGCTATCGCCACGCAGCAGATAAATTCAGAAGGTACAGCTTCTGGAGGAGAACAATACGTTAATAATACAATTATGGCAGGATGGGAAAAAGACTGATAAACTAAATAGCCTTAACTTACTCCCCGAGTTCTAAGTGGTGATGTGTTCACTGGTTTAACTTTCCACGAAGATTACAGCTGTGTGACACTGGAGCCTATGAATTTAAATAGCTCATTGGTTGTAGGAGACTAAACACGTACCCGTATCAAGTATGTTTTCAGATCCGTCAAACATGAGGAGAATTCATGTAGAGTATCATGTGCTACTGCCGCCTGCAGTCTCTGACGCAACTCTGAATTCCTATTACAGCTTTTATACATAACTTTCAGACTTCATTAATTCTGGTGGAATTATGATTCGTCTTTCACTTTTTTTAAGGTTATGTGTGACAAAAAAATTATGCTTTCAATTTGTAAAACCAAATACCTATGTGGGACCTGTCGCCACCAACAGAAGCTCCAAACAATCACACTGATGGGGTTAATTGGCATTTTAAAATAAATCACTGCCTCCAGATTGATTTATTTCCCCCCTCTCTTTACACAACATTACTGCATTTCTCTATAATTATTCAATGCTAAGTTCATGGTTTTGAAGCAGACGACTGCAGACTTCGGAAATGGTGTTTGATTTGTTGCCATGGAAACATCTTGCTGTAGATGTACTCTAATCCCATGACAACTCTGTCTCTCAAGAACCATTTTTTCTGACATAATAAAAATCTGATCAAGGTCAGATTTAATAACAATCTCAGTTCCCAGACTTTATTTCGTAAAGGTTTAGCGGAGTTATTTTTTTCTGAAGGGATTCTCTGGAAACTTTGTTTGTTTTCTTAGCTGGATTGGAATTTATTCCTTAAAAATACATAAACCTGGTGTGGTGTCATGTTAATTTACAGTGCACCTTTTGTTATGGTATAATTGCATCATTAAAAGAAAGTTGCTTAGAATTGTTTATATTGTCTTGACAGATGTTAACATTTTACATAAGACTGTTCCCACTAATACATACATTTGGGATATCAATAATGCTTATCGTTTTCTAGCAACTGGTGTTTACACAGTAGCAAATGCCAATGTAGCTTAACTTTTTGTTAAGCCGCATGTTTTGTAGTATAACATTTTCCTGAACTATTTATCACAGATAAATTCAAACCTGGAGGACTGGAGACAAGTGCCAATGCTTCATGCATTCTGCCAGAAAATAAAACCAGCATACATACAGGAGAGTCATATTTACACAAAAAAGTGCCTTGGCAATGAGGAACTTGTCAATAACTCAAGTATGAGTCTGAGGATTTTTTTCCCCTCCTTGGCACAACTGTATTTGTCTTTCAGCAGTTAGGTATCCACTGAGGCCTTTGAACAGTAATAGCTACATAGGAAAAGAGACTCTGCTAGTGCAATTCAGTTACACACTTAAGGTTGGACTTTCAAAACACAGGTAGCTCCTGACAGCAATGATAGGCAAACAAAGAGATCTCAGGAACATCTTTTGATCAATTCCTGTTCAGCCCCTAGGCAACAGAATCTTTAGGATTATGTGGTCCCAACAGGGGCAGGAACCAAACTTAGATCTACAGTGGGGACTTCTCCATTTATGCTACTTGTCCAGTATGATTTTGTAGCCCTAGAGAGAGATTTTACGTGTTCATCTGACTCTAAGGCATATACCAAAAACAGAACAGACAAATCACAGCCTAGAAGAAACATCCTTTCCCTTGATTTTGAAAGGAATTCCAACCTATCTCAGAGGCAATGGTCTCAGATCTTCTGCCCCAGAAGCACTGTCTGCAAACCAAGTTGAAGATAGTGAAGAGAACATCTGCAAAGAATACACCTTGCCTACAGCAAGAATTTATTTTCCCATACCTATTTAGCCTTATTCCTATCTATGGTTCCATCAAAGAAAATATATAACTGACTCATTCTGTCAACACGAGTAGTGGTCCTGGAACTCCTTAATACATTGCATCGCCATTTTTTGCGTCACAACTACCCATATTTCTTCTTATTCCCCAAGGCACAACTTCACACATATAGATGATCTTTCTGTCTGTATCTTTTTAACTATTCAACACCAGGCTATTTGATCTGCCCTGGAAATTGATATCACATCCCTGTAAATGGCAT